TTATCTGAGACTTAACTTGATTTAAAATAGTTATAAAACACCTGTGAAGGAATTACTTGAATTTTAAAGTTGGGAGACTAAATTTCATTTCCCTTAGTATGTCTATGGAAACATGTTTACTGTAATGGCAGAGAATCCTCCCCAACTTTTTTTCTCCTTTTAAAAATCTGATTACTAAGTAATACTAATTGATTTTTGAACACTGGATCCCTGGAGTGAATGACGTGTGATAAATAAATATGTTTAAAAATCTGAACAAGCTCCAGATATCATCTCTATGATGACTCGAGTGCTTGTGAAGCAATCTAGAAAAGTAAGTTATTTTACTTCTCCTTCAGTATTTCCCAAAGACAACATGATTGAGGTTTTAATAATAAAGCAAATTAATCAGTTAACAAGATGACTAATCAACAATTTTTCAGTTAACTCATCAAGCTCCATAGATATGTTCAGATATTTACCAGCTTTCATTACATCCTGGCAGAAAATCTTTTCCCCAAATATTTACAAGGAAGACTAATAATATGTCACCATGTCCCAACATGGATGTACCGTATTTTTCGCACTATAAGACACACTTTTTTTCCACAAAACAGGGGGGTGGAAAGTCTGTGCGTCTTATGGAGCGAAGAAAACAGATTATTTTTGCCTGTTTTCTTCTCCTAAAAATTTGGTGTGTCTTATGGAGCGAAAAATACGGTACATTATCAGTTGCAAGAAAAAGAGATCTCATGGTCATTATAAAGTACCAGAGTTTATTCTACTGTTTTCATCTTAATGTATTCAGTCTGAACATAAGGATGGGTGATACCTTTATCAAACCATTAGAAAATTATAAACATAAGCCAGCTTTCAATCCCACATGGGTCTTTAACAGACTGGGCACCAAAGAGCTGGGGGTATAACCCACCCTTACCTTTAGACTTAAAGCTGTTACTACTACCCTTGGAAGCAAATTGCATGTTCAGCATAAAAATGTCACGAGAAGAACGAACTAAGCTGCCCATGCCAGCGTCCAGATCAAAATCCAGATGAAGAGCCCATGCTTCAACTATAAGCTAAAAAGAAAAAATAATAATCCTAGCCATGGGACTGAAGGATGAACCTAAATTTGAACCTCTCTGTCGGCCTAATCTGCCTTGCCTTTATAGAGTACACAACAAAATGATCTAACTGCAGATATGCTTACCCAAACATTCTAGAGAACTGGTGAATATAAATGGAAACAAGCTGCAAAGCTTCATTTATAGTGATGGCATCACACTTAAAAAAAAATAAGGAAATGTTGCAAAATGGAGGGGAGGGCTCCCAAGCCCCTAACCCATTCCACCCCACTCTGACAAGGAAAAAAAATATCTCAGAACTTATGAGAACAGGATTAAGAACTGCAATTAACCCAGGATCCTCTCTTTAGTAATTATTCATATACCTGTTTAGCCAATAATAACTCCTAGCTCCAGGCTGTCTGCCTGCAGTGCTAGGACACAGACAGAAATCTCTGCTAAATTGACTTCCCTGGCTACACTCCTGCTTGCCAGAGCTGTTTTCAAGGGCAGATATACAATGTTATATGGGCAAAGGGACAAGCAAATTAAAGATGGGTGTTCATCAGGAAAAAAAACCTACTGAAGACCTTGTGTCAGCATTTGCCTCTATTTATATGGCTCCAGTGTTTTAACTCTTTGCATTCTACTAAGAAGGTTAAGTGCACTGCACCAGGAGGGACTGTACCTACCCTTTTAAAGTTACAGTATTTTAATTTTTGTGGATCCAGTAAGATCCTCCTGTTTCCAGTGCTTGTCCAGATTTCCATACCTTTGTGGATGGTAAGGCCTAAATCTAGCTCTTACCAGGGACTTATTTGTCTCAGGAATGTTGTCGTTTTGCATCACAAATACTCATCAGCTTGTTACGGGTCAGAAATGCCTCTGTGCAATACAAGAAATGATTTTAGCTGGAGAAACAGTTAAGAGGAAGCAAAACATGAGCCACTATGAGGTGCTATTTTTCAGAGAATATAGTAAGGATTAGAGATGGGCACAAACTGCTGGTTCGGCAGTTCGCGCCAATTCATTTATCAGCTGAACGGGTGTTCAGTGGGTCCCAGCCCTGCCTCCTCTGGTGGGTGCCCACTGACAGGCAGTGCCCTGGTTTCCCGACTCCTTTGGGTGCTGCTACCTCTGAGCAGACACCTGCTGGAGAAGACAGTGCTGGGAGCTGCCAAACACCTGTTCAGCTGATAAACAAACTGGAACAAACTGCCAAATTGGTGGTTCATGCCTATCTCTGGTAAGGATGTAACAAACACTAGGAATATCTCTAAACCCATCATGGAAAAGGTTGTCTCATTATGTAAAGATGACCAATTGAAATAAACTATCCACCACTGTGATAACAAAATTACCATATTTTTTCGCTCCATAAGACGCAGTCCCCCCCCCCAAAAGTGGGGGGAAAGTGTGTGTGTCTTATGGAGTGAATACTGTAAAACAGGGATCCCGCGGGGACACAGCTGCAGCCATTACAAAAAGGGTGGTGGTGGGCTTGCCTCAGCTTGAAAATCCACTGCCGCTGGTGGTGGTGTCTCAGAGCCGTGGAGGCACAAAGCCGTGGAAGCTTCTGTCGAAGGGGGTGGGAGGGGCTCGGGCAGAGGGAGGCCAGCTCAATGGCCCCACCAACAACCATTACAAAAATGGGGGGCTTGAAAATCTGTTGCTGCTACTGCTGCCTCAGAGGTGAGGCAGCCTAAAAACCATGGAAGCTTCTGTTGAAGGGGGTGGGAGGGGCTTGGGCAGAGGGAGAAGGGAGGCCAGTTCAATGGCCCCAGCAGCAGCCATTGCAAAAAAAGAGCCCAGCGGAGAGGCCATTTGAATTTCCTGCGCTCTTCCCTTCTGCCATGGGGCCTGTCCATGCTACTCAGGGCAGTCATGGAGCCCTTCCTGCGAAACCACAAGAGAGAAACACATCCCAGGACCTGAGAAGCCAAAAAAGGAAAAGAATAAGCTGTACATGTTTCCTTTAGCCTTCTTTTGGGAAAGCCAGGGAGTTAATGTGGGCAACTAAGCATTAATACCACTGAGTTGGAATTCCTAGAGTGGAGGGGAAAGAAACTAGCAGAGGGAGTGCGCCCAAAAGAGTCCTTTCCTGTTCCATGCAGATTCGACACCTCCAAAGGCTGTGTCCCCTTCCCAGGATTTAGGGATTGTCTTTGGTTCAGAATATTTTTTCCTGTTTTCCTCCTCTAAAAATTAGGTGTGTCTTATAGTCAGGTGCGTCTTATGGAGCGAAAAATACGGTACTTTGATCTATCATTATCATCATTATGATCAAACCCTTGCATATTCCAGGCAAAAGAATGCCCTTTACCTGGATATTTTAATTTTTACAAAACAAAACAAAACAAACAGAAACCCTTCAAAACTACAGAGATTCCCCCAAAAATCCTAATCTTGTCCAGCTGGGGAAGAAGTTTTAAAATTGTTCTGACCTGTGTGGATGACATCAGCAAAAACGTACATCCTTAGGATAGTGTGATTAATCACTTCATTTGCACATGTAGTGATGGGGCAGCTGTTCTGCCAAGAAATGTCTGAAGGGATATGTAAACAACTCTTTTCCAAGGACCCTTAGGGCACAGTCTTTGGTCAGGATTTCTGCTTCCTCTGGTCATTTTTCAGTAGGGCACACTCCTCCCTTTCCTAGTCAAGTGAAGTGATTAATTTCCTCATTCATATGAATGGGTGAGACTCATTATCATTGCCACTGCCTCCACCCTTTGATGAATTCAGGAACTTCACTCACAACCTTTCCCTGGATTTTTATCCAGTACAATTCAAGAGAAAACTTTTAGGTATTTGTACAGTATTAGTACAGTTAAAATAAGTGGAAGCAATTCAAAGGAGTGAATTTGGAGGTTTTCTAGGCACACGGTTTGAGTAGGAAGTCTTCCCAGTGGACAGTGGCCATGGGTCTGCTAATAACTGTTGCTCTCAAAATGTATAATGGCAAAGTCATATCAAATCTGTACAGTTTCTAGACAATCCATCCATTCCTTGACAAGTCCGGATACTGTTATCTCATGGATTTAAGAGCAGGGAGATGAGGAAGCTTCTTAAGAGCTTATCTACCCCAAAATGGAGTATGCTATACAGAGAAATGAGCATCAAATACGCTGTATTTGAAGTGCTGGTACTTAAGTGTTAAATGATTAATGCCTGGCACAAATGCATGCTAATCACCAAGTGACGGCAACATATATTGCTCTTTAGTATACGAACAGTCAAATTTTACTTTTGCTTTCTTAAGGAGTTTCTTATAGCTCTGTTCTGATGAAGTGATAAGGCAACAGTCTGCAGACACTTCACAAGTCTTGTCAGCAGACTTTTTGTTCATATTGGCCAAGCCAGCCCAATACTCTTTAAGCTCCCATGTGCAATGGGTAGGTGCCCATGTTACATTTCTTTTTCTTTTTTAATTTTATTATTTGTCTTACAGTCTTAGGTAGGAATGAAGCAATATAAATTAGTATTTTGAGGACTGAATCCCTGGAAAATACTGAAATGTAATGGATGCCGCCCTCTAGATATGATTATTTCACCAAATGTTTCGATAGTATTTTTACACCAGTTTATGACAGAACAGAATAAAAACCCAGTTCTATCCTGATATAGTCAAATGCTCACATAGTCAGTCTTCAGTTAAAACTAAATTATTTTGTCTTGACTATGGACCTGAATGACTCCTGCCTGTATTACTTTCTGCTGGTTTTGCCCTTCATTTAATTTTGTTGGCATACTGCTTTGTTTCATTGCCTGGATTTGTTGTCTTTTGAAATGGGAATGTTTATTATTATGTACCTTGGTGTTCCTTTTAGGACTAAAAGGTGGAATATGATTATTTTAAGTAAATAGGGAGACAGCTACTTGGAAAAGATGAGTGAGATCACTAAGGATTTTGGGTGAGATATCAACATGTTAATGAAACCTTTTATTGCAATTCAGGCAAACCCATAAAATACTGAATACCTGTCTGCAGCAATGAAGTGGATAAGGTTCAAAAGTTTGGTCCAGACAAGGCGCTATTGGTGGATTTTCTGCCTTGAAAAGCAGCATTCGTCCAGTTCTATATAGGATTTCATATCCTATGAAATATATTTATGATCACAGGGTGGACAGATGCCACATACCGCCTAATGAGGTACAGTAGATTGTATATCAATGCATGTACAGAATATGACATTTAGCCTAAGCCACCAGATCCCTTGCCAACCACTTCAAGGACAAGGACTGTCTGCTAGCATGTGAAAAATAAGCTTTGATGTCATATTACCCATCTGAATCAAATCCTTAGAATTCTTGAATTTGTCCTTGAAAGCAATGAAGGCCAGGTGGAGAGCTCTCAACTCCAACTAGTTCAGACTTCTGTGCCTTTCTTTGTTGCTCCATATCAGTATGATATACATACAATTTGCAGCTGAGATGATGGCTTTGAGTTAGCAGAGTTTAGAATGTCTCTTCTGACAGATAAGCCCCAAATTGTGCTGTATCCAGAATTATGCTGAAGCATGTTAACTTTTGAGAAGAGCCTTATCAAGAGGGACCATAAATTCCTGGATTTGAAGCTCAGGTTAGGACTTCCTGAATATCTCAGATACACCTCTTGCTCAAATTGGATCAAATTGAGATATCATCCAAATAAAGACATAAATATACCGTAACTCCCTAGCCCTGAGATGGATCATGAGTGCCACTGGCACCTTGGTGAACATTCTGGGGGCATTTGTTTATTCAGTAGGCAGCACTAAGTGTTAGGTAATGAGTTTTGTTGTAAGCAAACCTACAACAATTTCTGGTGGCTCTTTTGAATAAGAATACAGAAATATGGAAACAAGAAATTGCAAGGGACTCCTGAAAGGGACTCCGCTACTGATTATTCGTGTACCCATGTTGAATGTTTTCTTGCACATACTGTACATAGATTGAACCACTTGATGTCCAGAATGATTGTGGTGTCTTCATTCTTTTAGGGAACTAAAAAGAGGAGTAAACCCCCAAATAAGTGGTTGAGCGGGGAAATTGATCTACAGTCCACATTACAAGATGGTCTCCATCAGGAAATTCTCCCTTATAACTAGAATTCAGCAACATATCATCTTTGATTCTGGGTTTCTCATGGCTTGAAGAGAGGAGAGAAAATAAGTACGACTTTCTCACAAGCCTAACCAGTTTTCTTGCTAACCCTATCCAGATGTAAGGAGAAAAATTTAAAATATTGATCCAAATAAACAGCTGGAGCAGAGCAATTAAGGACAAAAGCTCATCCCTGTCAAAACACTTTTTGGGGCAAATTCAATCTGAGAAAAACAAGATGGCTCCACCTCCTAAAAGAATCAAATGGCTTCAAACTTCAATGGATGGCAAATTCTGAAAGTAAAGAAAAGTCACCATGGAGCTTTTTACAAGTAGGGGTAATGAAAGTGCAAAACCTAGCCGCCTAGAGTGGTCGAAATGACTAGAAAAGTGCAGAACCTATTCTTGCACCCACTTCTTGTCAACTGCAAACCACCCTTTGTTTCCTAGCAGGGCAGTACCTGGAAATGTAATTAGGAATAACACCTCTCTTGTTAACATCCAACCTGAGAAGCCCCAGGAAAAGTATAACTACTGTAAAGCCCTGAGCATGGTAAGGCAAGACAAGGCAAGAGGACAGCATTCACAGCACTTAGAAGAAACCCAGAGAGAACACAGTTAAAATGGAGTTGAAATAGCTTCATTCATTTTTTTCTCCACAGAGCCCAATAAGTGGAAACAATTTCTCACTGTTGATGCCTTTAGCAGCAAGGCTGAAAGGAGTCTTGCAATTTGAGCTGATATCTCCCACTAAAGAAAATGTCTTGCAGATACATTGGCCCTTTATACATATCAACTCCTCCCGCCTCAACTCCAAATGCTTTGCTATTTCTCAGCAGTCATTTAAGTCAGAAGCAGCAGTTTTGAAATCTGAAGCCAACACACAACAGTTGGTTGAAGACACCAGATCAAGCTGGACATTTTTGTAAAAGTCTGCCATTATGTCACATCCTTTGGTAGGTGTTTAGGAGAATGAAGAAAATAGAAACCAGAAACACTGTTGAGTCATCCACTGCCCACCTTACTCCCTATTTTACAGAGTTAAAAAAGTGTGGCTGCCTTTGTAGTAGTCAATATCCAAACACCTCAACCCATATCCACAGCAAATGACTCCCTCCCCATCAAAATTTCAACTATACAGTGGTGCCTCGCTTAACGAGTGCCTCGCTCAACGATGAATTCGCATAACGATGGCCTTTGCTGGAAATTTTGCCGCCTCACCTAACGATGTTTCCTGTGGGGGGGCTGCCTTTGTAGTAGTCAATATCCAAACACTGAAGCTCATATCCACAGCAAATGACTCCCTCCCCATCAAAATTTCAACTATATTTACTAGAACAGCTATGTAATTGCAATTGCCGAAAGATGGCTTTGCAACAGCTCTTTCAAACAGGGTAACTGAGAACAACTAAGGTATAAAATGGACCTCAGGAATTCTATATGAACAGAAACTTTGAATATACCTACAGTGTGAGTCTGAATACTGGAGAGGGCAGCATGACCATTCACCCACAGTGCCATCCAGAGATCAGAAATGTATTCTGGGAAGGGAGACTCTTCCTGGAATCCTTGTTCTCATGTGGCTTAATGCCTGGTGGTTTCTAGTAGTCCAAAGATGTAACTTCCCCATGTTCTGCTGAAACCCCTGCACTAGGAAAGTATAGAAAGTTTTGTTATATTGTCCCTGGCTCTTGGGTTCTCCAAAGTGAGAATGAGACATTTTTGTGGCTGTAGGACTTTTGATGGTCTGGAGGGGGCACCACATGGCCAAAGTCACCATCTTGAAGCCAGCCATGTATACAGACCTAACAAAATTAAACAAATTTTCCTCTTTTAGGGGAAACCTGACAACTGTATTCCAGAGTCTGCCAATCTTTAGGACAAAAGAGGATACAATAGCCTATGCTAACCAGATTTGCCACAGCCCGCTTAGGGCATATTTCTCAAATTGTATTTAAATTTGAGCAGATTATAATTACAACTGTTTATACTGTGATTTAAAACATAGATACCTTATCATTCTATGTATTACTCTCGAGTGGAGATATAATTAATTACCCATCTAATCCTAACAGGTGAGGATGAGGAACTGTAAAATTATTTTCCCTGACTCAGACAAAGTCAAGGAGTTTTGTGGCAACCTCAACAAGAGATGAGAAATACTCAAAATTGCACAAACTAAGATTTTAACACAACATTTTAGTGAAAGTAACTTAAGCTGCAGAAAATGACTATAGCTGCTCCTTTACTGATGGACTATGAAAAAGTAGAACACTGGATTGTTTTATTTTAATGTCTTTTAATAATTACCAATGGTTCCATGTTTGCTGTGTCTGCTTTGCTTCTCAGACAGAAAGGATGCTATTTTACATAGTTCGCATAAATCATGGAGGCCTTCAGGAGAAGCATTTTTAAAGTGCTGGTGTTAGGGACTTTCTGCATGCAAAGCATTTGATTATCAAGTCCTGGGCTTTCCTAGTGCAGTGAGAAGTCAACTCCATCACTCTAAGAATTTATTTGTATATGATATATGTCATAAGATTAAGTTGTTCCAGAAAGGTACATCTTGCCCAGTCATTACCCAAAAAGGAGAACGAAGCCCCAACAAATAAAAGGGAAGAACCATTATAGAATTTCTAAAACATTTGTCCTCATTGCACGCACACATGCACACTCAACCTACTGGCTCATTATGGAAACAGGTGTGCCCCACATGTAGTGCTGGGAATGGACTAGTGCTGCCCCCTTTGTTATCACTTTGATCAAGCAGAGGTGAGAATCTGAAAAAGAAAAGGGTTCCATAGAGCTATCTATAGAGACTAGACTCTTCCCTCTTTTTCTTGGCATATGATTAAACTGATGGGCAGGGACAGTTTGCTCCTATCACTCTATGCAGAGCATTCACACCTGCATAATGAATGGATAGGGCTACAATTAGCTGCATATTCTATATTATTTTCCTCTCTTTAAGGAGTCCTAAATATTTAACTGGAAGCCCCTGTCAGGCAAAGATGAGAAAATGTGTGTAAATGATTGGAATGTTAAACATATTATTCTAACAGAAAAGTTATAATTTATTTAGCTCTCTTACCTGATTTCCCCTTTTGAATTAATTGCTGTTGATAATTTTATTAGCTTCCCTAGCAGCTCATCAATCCCTCTGGCATGAATTTTACAAAATGGAAGAAATACAATATTTTACAGCACTCCCTCTCTGCTTAATCCCTCGGCAAGTACATTGGGGCAAATTTACAATGTTATTTAAGCAGGGAACAATGCTTAAAAGCTTAACAGTCGGCCCTAGCTAATTTAGAAGGCTTTACAGAAGGTCCCATGGGTAGACTTTTGTGTAAGAAGGAGATCATATTGTCCTTTGCATCTCTCCCTTGGGTAGAAAAAAAATCCTACCAGTTCCTTAATGAGCTAAAGCCAGGGAGTGCTCTATTTATTTATTTATGTGATATTAGAAGATGTATCACGGAAAACTCAATTAATATAAATGCTTCATGTTTAAGACTGTTAGGCCTCTTCAAATTATTTCTCTTCCACATCTGCCCCTCACTTTTAATTTTTATATGGATGAGGGCTGCAGCATGTGGCTTCTGAGGTACTGGATGATTTCACAAAAGCTCCACAGCTTAGATACTTCCTCATGAGGAAATACATAGCATTTCAACCAATTGCTGGGGGAAAAGGCTGAGATAAGAAGTGCTGTAATACTGTGGGGGGGGGGGGAAGTACTGTATTTAAACAGCCTTGAGTACATATGGTAGACAAGTAGGGTAAAACATTTTAATTAAATCATATTTCAGAACTGGTGCAGTTTCATGTTCATTATCTTGCTGTACTCCTTACAAAGGGTGTGTGAAACATCTGTCCCTGCAATCAGCTGAACACGATTATAGAGAGAGCTCTGTGGGTTTGGAAACCTTGATAATGCAGCACTTCCAATCCCACAGTACTCTGTTAACTACATTCACTTGAATGTAGCTAACACTCCATCCACTTCAATCCACCCCTGTCAACACAGGCAAGCTAAAAACACATGGGGTGGGGCTGGTGTCCCTGACTCCCTCTGCATGCTTGCAAGATACAATGCTTGGACAGGATTTCTGTGATTATTCTGGAGTTAGGCTTTTTTTTTTTAATTGCATTTCTATTCATCCATGTTCTTCTGAAAAACTGCTAATCCCAGCAGAATTGTTCACTCCTACAGAAGGGCAAAAAGACCAGTGCCTATTCTACCAGCAACATTATCAAAGCAACACACAAACACACACACACACCCTTGCATCCATGTAAAATATTTCCACAAAACACGTAAAAACACATTCACAAATTTTTCACACACACAAAAAGCATGTGAAAAATGTATACAAAGTCTCACACTCTTGACTGACAGGGAGAAAATATATGTTTCATGATCACTTCCAAGAAATGAATAAGGAAAACTGTACATCCCTATTTGGAACGCAGATCACGGAACACAAGTGACCCTGGAGAATCCATAAAGAGCCCTGTGAGTCCTTGACAGGGGCTGGACTCAATAATCCTTGGAGTTCCTTCCAGAAATGCACTTCTAAGATGATGATGATGATGATGATGATGAATATTATTATTATTCAAAAACACCAGGCACAGTTAAAATTATTTAAAAAAATTGGAATTACATAACAGATACAAGTTTTAACCAAAAACCTAAGTATCTGTTAAATATAGACACAGTATGTATGCTGTTCCTAATACTGCCATTTTTTGTAGCTCTGATGGTGTGATTTCGGAGATCTGCAACTGCTTGTAGTATTGTGTGAAATTTCTTGATATTGTCCCCAAAGCCCCGATGATTATGAGGACCAGTAAAATCTGTCATTGCTTCCATATCTTCACCTTCTATTTGCCAGGAGGTGATGGGACCAGTGGCCATGATCTTGGTTTTATTGATGTTGAGCTTCAGACCATTTTTGCACTCTCCTCTTTCACCCTCATTAAGAGGTTCTTTAATTCCTCCTTACTTTCTGCCATCAGAGTGGTATCATCTGCATATTGGAGGTTGTTGTTATTTCTTCCGGCAATCTTAATTCTGGTTTGGGATTCCTCCAGTCTGGCCTTTCGCATGATGTATTTTGCATATAAATTAAATAAGCAGGGGGACAATATACAGCCTTGTCGTACTCCTTTCCCAATTTTGAACCAATCAGTTGTTCCATATCCAGTTCTAACTGTTGCTTCCTAGCCCACATATAGGTTTCTCAGGAGATATATAAGGTGGTGAGGCACTCCCATTTCTTTAAAGACTTGCCATAGTTTGCTGTGGTATACACACTCAAAGATTTTTGC